AGAACATTGTATTTATGAATTAAAAATAAATAATTCTTTTGAGAAACTTGATCATTTTCTTACAACGAGTACGAAAGCATTGTTTATCCATCATATGACCGAATTGTAATTCAAGAACTAGAGTTTCAGTTATCAAAATGAGTAAATTTATAACAAATCATGTATTGTATTTAATAAACGAGACTTAGAACCCAAACAACATTACAAAGTCCTAGAACTAATATATATTTCATAATAGAGATGAACAAAATTCATATATATACATCCCTAATCATCAATGAGTGAACTTGAGAAAGAAATCTACTTTTAATCCGCAATTTGATGCAACTCTAGCTTATTCGACCAGTTCTCGACGCGAAAATCCCTTTGAATCTTGTGTTTTCTCGTTCTCTCTCACTTTCTAGAATTGCTAAGGCCAAAGAATGCTGAAACTAACCTAATTGACGTCCTTGAGATATTTGTAAGGTTAGAATCTGAACAGTCAGTGTGTCCCTATTTGCTGTAAAAATTGCACTCACGTTTGAATGTGTTTTGTGTTTGAATGTGTCTCATTCAAATGTGAATGACGTTCGAACGTTCCTTGCTCCTAGTCCCTCGATTTCTGTCAAACTTTCNCTTAGGAAGTCAACTTCATAATCAAATTGGTTTTGTACCAATTTAGCAAGGTTAAAAGCTTATTTTTGGTAAAACCGCTCTATGGGTTCGCATGTTACTTAAATGCATCCCAAGTGTTTAAGAAAATATTTAAGTCCCAAGTGTTTAAGAAAATATTTAAGTGAAGGAAATGAGTGAAAATGGGACTTAAGTGGCTTGATTTAAGTGGTGTGGAATGGGATATAAGAGAAAAGGGTAAGGAGTAAGTAAAATTGGTGTGAACTATTTATCTATTCTTAAATTTGCTTAGTCATCAGTTAGGACAACAACACCGATTGGTCGATCGTTCTATCCATTGAGTGACCATTCCGAAGTAATCATTTCACTAATTATTTTTTTATAACATTGAGTTCATCGTTGTTATTCTACAATCAAATATTCTACAATGTACTGCTTCATAATAATTGGAAATAAAAGTATTTGACTAACATGAGTTATTTTCACTATGTGAAATATAGTTTTGATGATTTGATTTATGTTTAGTTGAGCAAATAATTGATCAAATATGTTTTGTTGTAAAATTTGTGGTTTATTGAAAAGCTTGTGATTTGAGTATTATCCACTGTAATAGAGTTGTTGTATAGCTTAACATGACTTATATGTTGTTGATTTGGACACTACGAAGTTGTTGTGAGACAATTTGACATTGCTTAAATGTTATAAATAACTTGACATTACTTAAATGTTATTGATAGTCTGACATTACTTAAATATTGTTGATAGTCTGTCATTGCTTAAATGTTATTATTGACTTATAACACATGTGGACTTTTTATTATGTTGATATTTTGATAGTGATTATAAGATTTCAAAGTGAGTTGAAAACACTTTGATTTTGTCATTCTCCTTAGATTGTGAACATATTTTGGTGAAAGAATATTTGATTTATATTTTTAATATTTTTATTTATTATGATGCGCAATACACTTAAAAAAAATATTTGTTTTTAGGAAGCTTAAAGTTAGGTCCAATACAACACTAGCAGAGTCGAGATGAGAGGTTGAGGAAACTTGTTGTGTACATTTTGTAAATGAGTGTTCGTTTCCTTTTTGATGTAAGAGATGGATTCCTTAATGTTTTGTTTTGATTTAAGTTGTAGAATGGTGCACTCTGCATAGAGTTGTATAGTTTATCTCTTTCATGAGATTATTAATTGGTATTATAGGTTTATATGCATTCCTAAATTACGGGTGCATGTATTGTCATGTGTCAAGTTATACTTCCATTTTAAAATACCAAAATGATCTTTCGAGATGGGGTGTGACAGTAACCCATGTTCATCACCCCACCAATACAAGAAATAGTTTTATAACTTCCATATAAAATTATGAATCACATTTACACATTTCTAAGATATGATAATTTCAAGAAAATATGCAAGAGATCCCCAAAAACCCTTTTACATTGAACATAACCAAAATCTAGGATTTTCGAAATCAAGAACATTGTATTTATGAATTAAAAATAAATAATTCTTTTGAGAAACTTGATCATTTTCTTACAACGAGTACGAAAGCATTGTTTATCCATCATATGACCGAATTGTAATTCAAGAACTAGAGTTTCAGTTATCAAAATGAGTAAATTTATAACAAATCATGTATTGTATTTAATAAACGAGACTTAGAACCCAAACAACATTACAAAGTCCTAGAACTAATATATATTTCATAATAGAGATGAACAAAATTCATATATATACATCCCTAATCATCAATGAGTGAACTTGAGAAAGAAATCTACTTTTAATCCGCAATTTGATGCAACTCTAGCTTATTCGACCAGTTCTCGACGCGAAAATCCCTTTGAATCTTGTGTTTTCTCGTTCTCTCTCACTTTCTAGAATTGCTAAGGCCAAAGAATGCTGAAACTAACCTAATTGACGTCCTTGAGATATTTGTAAGGTTAGAATCTGAACAGTCAGTGTGTCCCTATTTGCTGTAAAAATTGCACTCACGTTTGAATGTGTTTTGTGTTTGAACGTGTCTCATTCAAATGTGAATGACGTTCGAACGTTCCTTGCTCCTAGTCCCTCGATTTCTGTCAAACTTTCTGTCAAAAAATCAAACTATTGTAGCTAAGCCCCGTTCGAATGGAAAATTGGCGTTTAGACGTGACTTCAAAATCCCGTAAGAACTTCCAGTATAGTTTTGATCTATTTACAAGTAGATTCACTAAATTTTGTGAGATACACTTTTTGTAGCCCCTGGAACCTAATTTCTACTATCCAAACTAGTTATTCTCTTCTTAACTTCTCCTAAAGATGAGTATAAGATCCAAAATACCTAATATCTTCTAATATAACCTATATAATTTATCCCTAACTCATTATTTATACATCCAACACATAGAACTTAACAAATATATATATATATATATATATATATATATGAATACATGGGGTTTACAAAAATTGGGTGTATCTACTTACAACTTTCATTTCCATCCCTAATGAAGGCTTCCAAGTTACAACCAAAAGTTAGGAAAAAATAAGAGAAAAAAATGATGATGTTGCTTCGATATCATTGGTTATTTTAGTCATCCAACGAAAAAAACCATGAGCACTTTTTTCTTTCCTTTAGATTGATTGGGCAAACAAAAAATAAGCTATTTATTTTGAAAATCTTACGTTGAGGTGCAATAAATAGGTAATGCTCCTAGCTTCTGTGGCAACTCCCCTTAATCTTTGTGTTGGATATCTCTTGATATACTAAATAATTTCTTCACATGCCCAAGCCCAAGCAATACAAACATAGCCAAGTAACCACCCATAGTTCAGAATATTCCTCTATAAACATTAACCACACTAGAACAGATTAGGACAGGGCGACATATTGGAGGCTCAGTTTCAAGTTTCAATAGATTGTCGGACTGTTTTGCAGCTGCATAGCTATTTCTCAGGTTGAGGAAAGCCTAGCCACTTCTATGTTGATTTTGCACACATGGCATATTTCAAAATTACAAAATCAACATCATAAATTGTAAAACCGATAGTAGTCGGTGGCCTTGTTTTGCATTTATAGCTATTGTCTAACCACAAGAAATTGCATTCCAATTGAATGCCAAATTTTATTTAGCATGTGTCTTGTGCTTGCAATAGAGCCTAAGATGAAAATGAAAAGGAAAAAAAAAAGGCCACAAATTATAATCTACTGATTTTTGATTTGAACCTATAATCTAAATCACAGTGGTGATTTGTTATATAACATGCTTTTAGTAGTTTCTTTGCACCTAAAAATTTCTCCTGGTTACTATAAAGAGCATGAATTCACATAAATATATACGGATGTATAGAGAGAGATAAGGCAAGAGCACCTAACTGAGCAATTAGTGTGTATAAGGATGCCAAAGGTATGGTTGGTGAATATATCTATGGTATGAAATTTGAAGATGAGAACTTTTAGTTAAAAGTGAGAATATCTTATGCCGGATGAAACACTAATAAATCTCAATTCTTTATACTACCAAGAAGACACAAGAATACCAAAGGTAATGGGATGATTCAATTACCAAGTAATTCTTGATATAATCAATTTAGATTGAAAATTTACTTCAATTGAAAGAGTGTACTCAATTACAATTGTGGAGTTGAAGGAACATTTTGTGATGATGTTTTATTTGTGTACATTTTTAGGGATATTATTAGCATTTAATTTTTTTTTATGCATGTTTACATTAAGTAGTATAAATTAATACATTTTTTTAATCTAACTAATGGTATAATTTGAGAATTTTTAAATTTTCAGTGTATAAATTGAGACTTGAGAATCTTTTAGTTGCAAATGTCATTCACCTTATATTTTAGGATCGTGAATTGAATTGTAAATGATCTCTGACCTTTAATCTTGATTTGAGCTATTTTTAGTCATCGATCATTGAAATAATAAAATAAGATAAAATAATAATTTTTTTTTAAATGTCATCTTGTGATTAGGTAAAAAAAAAAAAAAGAGATATGGTATTCAAATCTAATCCTATGTTTTATAGAGGTGAAACCCATTTATGTAGATCTTCTCGGCGTGCAACCTAGTGGACCATTTTCTTGGGAACATGATCTGTTGACCTATCTCCAATTTACACTTGGTTTGGTAATTGTTTTTATTTTGTGTTACGTAGTTTTTTAAAAAACACATAAAAACATATTTGTGTTTGTAATTTAGTTTTTTTTTTTTTTTCAGCTACCTTATTTTAAAAACAAGTCCCAAATCTTTAAACACAAAAAATGGTGCTTCTAAAAACACATAAAAAGGAAAACACACGCGCGGCCTGGGGTCCATTTAACGAGGTCTAGGTTTCGAATCCCATTAGCTGCAAAATAAGGGTACCAAAACTGAAAGTATAAAAAAATGCCAATTCATTTCTCTCTCTCGCCTATCTCCCTCTCCCGTTTGTCACTGTTCAGCCTGAGGACGAAGGAGAGAACTCCGCCGGAATTGCTCAGATCTTCATCTCTCAACCTCGATCCCATCTCAGATTTCTTCAGCCAGAGGATTCGACTGCCACGAAGGTGAGTTATAAAATAGATCTACTCTCTCGCGGCATATATATACATAGATCTATGTATATATGCATATATATATATATACAAAGATCTGTGTGTGTATATATATATATATATATGTGTGTGTGTGTGTGTGTGTGTGTGTGTGTGTGTGTCTGGGTGTGTGTGTGGGTCTGCATCTGCGTGTGTGTGTGTGTTTCTGCGTTTGTGGGTGTGTGTGGTTCTTCGTTTGTGTGTGTGTTTCTGGGTGTGAGCGTGTGTTGGTGTGTGGGTTCTTGAGTGGTCTGTCCATGCCTCTTCTTATTTTGCATCAATTCATTGATTTTTGGATTTTGCATGCAAGTTGGTGTTTGCAAAATTGTGGGTCATCTTCTATCACATCTCCTTTGCTTTTTTTTTTTTGGCATGTTATTTGCTGTCGTTGGGTCTGTGGGACGATTGTAGGTTCTGTTGGAACAAATTGATTCGAATCTGTGACTTGCCCGAGTTGTGGCTGAGACGGAACCGATTCAAACTCGACTTGGGACTTTTTTGTAACGGGTATCGGTGTAGTGGCCGAGGCGGATAGGACCCGACCGAGTCATATCGATATTGGTCTTTGCTGATCCCTTGAACCGTGAATCCTAGTGCCATTGTTTATTCCCATTCTGTGCTGATATTTCATTAACGAGAATTGGCCAAGTCTTGTTTCCATTTGTTCTGTTAGGATCTTATTTTCAATTTTCAGGAGGCCCAAAAGAAAAGTAAAGATGTATTTGGTTTCTTTTATACATCATTGTCCAAGAAAATTTGCAAAACTAAATTTGTTAATCAAATTACTAATATTGTCATTTATTTTGATAGGAAAAAGAATTGTTTAGAAAAGAGAAGGGAGAGCGCCAGGTTAACTCATCTCTTTTTTTGGGTTCAATATTTTGTATATGTAGATATTTACTCCAATATTGCCTTTTATTCATGGTCTTCGTACATTNCAAGAATGAAGGAATTGATTTATCTATTGTCCAAAGGAGCTAAGACATAAGAGTTTGAACGACTCTATGTGATGTGGTATGAGATTTTTAAACCAACATTTATTCTTCTGTTATTTTGACTTGCGGGTATAGACAGTNCAATTTATATTCACGTATTAGTGTCTGACATGTTTGGTACATGGACATGCCTGAACATGTGAAAAATGGTGTCCAATTTTTTTTCTCTTTTTCATACACGTCTCGACACGTTTGGGACTCAATCGGTCACGTTTCTTACTTTTCCCAATCAGACGAAGATGAAGAAAGTTAGAGAGAGAGAGAAACGAGGGTGACCTGAGATAGACAGAGACAAAAGTTGTTAACAGTTCAGCGATCAAAGAAAAAAGTTGTAGAAGGTTTTTTACTGAGAGGACAAGAGATTGCAAATTTCTTTTTAGAGAGAGAGAGAGAGAGAGAGAGAGNATATGTAGATATTTACTCCAATATTGCCTTTTATTCATGGTCTTCGTACATTTGTAACTGTTAGACTTAGTTTGAAATATAAGCATACATTCAAAATGATTTTTTTGTTATATCTTTGCTTACAGTATGGTTTTGATGTGGATTTCTATTGCATTCCGTAGGCATGGAGGAGCAGTTTATACTCCGAGTTCCACCTTCTGTTGCTGAGCGAATAGACTTCCTTTTGAGTGAGAATGCCTCTTCTTCTGAAGACAAATCATTGGATTTATCTTTCTCGGGTGAGAATATGCGTTCCCCGGCTGAAAAAATGTAAAATTTATAGTAATGCTTACATTTTTATTCCAGAGTAGTGTCGATAATTGTCAACTATGAAGCACGAACACTAAATTTATATTCACGTATTAGTGTCTGACATGTTTGGTACATGGACATGCCCGAACATGTCTTGGACATGTGAAAAATGGTGTCCAATTTTTTTTCTCTTTTTCATACACGTCTCGACACTTTTGGGACTCAATCGGTCACGTTTCTTACTTTTCCCAATCAGACGAAGATGAAGAAAGTTAGAGAGAGAGAGAAACGAGGGTGACCTGAGATAGACAGAGACAAAAGTTGTTAACAGTTCAGCGATCAAAGAAAAAAGTTGTAGAAGGTTTTTTACTGAGAGGACAAGAGATTGCAAATTTCTTTTTAGAGAGAGAGAGAGAGAGAGAGAGAGAAAGAGGGTGGGGAGACGAGAGGTTCAGAATATTCTACAGATGAGAGGGGATGAGGCCTCTCTTTACCCACAAGAAGGATAAGGAACAATGAATTAATGCTGACAATATTTTGGTGGGCTACAACTGACTGCCATAAAAAATCAAGTGCAACGAGGTATTCTACAAGATGACTTATTCAATCAGTATGATGAATAATGGGCTGCCAAGTGTCCTATTGAAGATTATTGTGAAATACTAGATCCAACAACTTCATTAAAGATTCACAGCAGTGGGCCCATGTTACTGACTCATGAAAAGATTTTGAAGCTAAAATTTTGACTGCCCAAATATCAGTGTGTTTTGCCTTGGAAATCGGTTGATGATGGTACATTATCTGATCAAATAAAAGAAAATTGAATAAACAGCCAGATTTGCTTGCTCGGCAATGTAGTTCTCAACTTTGTTCACCGAATTCCTCTTTAAAAGCATCTAGCTGTTTAATGTTGTTGGAATTTTTTTTGGTTTCCAACATAATTTTATCAAACATCTTATTGATACGTGCACTACCATATAATATACTATATATAATTTATAAAAATATAAATTATTTAATGTGTCCTCGTTCTGTCCTAGTTTTTGGAAATATTCCGTGTCCATATCGGTCGTATCCGTATCTCGTGTCTGTGCTTTTTATATAGTCTATGTAACCAATTGTGCTTTCCAAGCCCTTGATTACATGTGTGCTTTTCTATCTCGTTATTATGACCGTCATGTGCCGCAGTAATTACACAGTAAACAATGCTATACTTTTTCTATCTCCTTGTCCAAATAGCTTTATAGTTTTTTCATCCGAGTATTTATTTTATTTACTTTTTTTAGTCTATCGGTGTGATCTATAATATGCACTGCTAGTCATCATGATTTAGTCAAAATAGGCCAAAATTGGAAGAAATAAATCAAACACAGGGGCAATTAGACCACTGAAAGTAATGTGGCTAAGAATGAAGGAATTGATTTATCTATTGTCCAAAGGAGCTAAGACATAAGAGTTTGAACGACTCTATGTGACGTGGTATGAGATTTTTAAACCAACATTTATTCTTCTGTTATTTTGACTTGCGGGTATAGACAGTAGGTAGTTAGAATAGGTCTACGTGTTGGTTGATCTGTAGGTTGGCTACATGAAAACTCGAATTGGTGATAGCAATTTGTGCACGTGTCACTTGGTTGGGAAATAAGGCTAGGTGGAGATGGTTTGTATGCATAGGCCCAAGCTAATAAAAAAAGGGTAGCCCTATGCACAAGACTCCCACTACTATAGGTTTGGTGTATACAACATTACTGGCTCATGTGGAGACTGTTTTTGTGCCTTGAATCTTGCCGCCCAGGACATAATGGAGCAACTTTATCTCTGCATTATTTAGAATATGTGTGCATGTGTTTGAGGGGAGGATTGAATAAATATCTTGGTTGACTTTTATAATTTGCTATTCAATGGATCATAAAGAGTCACAGGTATTTTTGAGCTTTTGAAGCAATGAGAACATTAAAAAAGAATCTTCTTGGTCGTTTGTAGTTGCAACTTCAGCAAAACATGATGAGAAGCGGTTGTTCCATGAGGCCCTTTCAAATAGTGAGCCAAATGCCACGTGTTGTAGGAGATGTGGTATTAAGGACACCACCTAATTATTTTTGGATTTTTAGGATCCAGGGTGGAAGTCATCTTGAATAGTTGCTTCAGGAGAATACTCAGGTACCTTCTTGTGACTTTTGTGCTCAATACATTTTAAGTCATTCAAAAATTCCAGTAGCTTGTCAAAGGTATTAACGTTAGTGGTTTCTCATTTATCTTGTTCCAACCAAGGGATTCTTAATATATTGGAATTTGGAAACGAGAAATATCCTTTTGCGAGCACACATCCTTGTCACCCTTGTGTTATTTACCTAGTATGCGGGTTAATTACTTATCACTGTTGTCATCCTTGTCACATTAGTGGTTTCTCATTTACCTTGTTCCAACCAAGGGATTCCAAATAGAGACTTTGGGGATTTCAAGATTGACATGCAATTAAATAGAAATTATTGAATAGAATGATTTGTTGATTAAATTAAGTTGAAAGTTAATTTTAAATTTGGTAAAATTATTAATTTGTTATGAAATTTTGTTGTGATTCAAATTTTCAGATCGGATCAAGTAATTGGATTGAATATTCGATTATTAACAGACGCAAATATAGATTAAGATTTTGAAATCCGTCGGATAAACGTATTGGATTCGACACAAGAATTTTTTGTCGGATTCAGATTTGGACAGATCAAGATCTGATCAGTTGACAGCCCTAATGGTGATTGCCATAAAACCAGAAAAGTTGCTCTAAAAAAAAGCAGACTACGAATTGTAACATTATAGAGGGGAGAAATAGCAAGAGATTGGATTTGAGTTTGCTCAGATACCAATTGATGTAGGATGAGAAAGAGGAGGGGAAGAAAGAATAAGAGACAAACGACAAGTTATCATAACCGTGTAAGGATTAGGTTAAGAAATACACAAATTCTCCACAAAGAACTAATTTTATCAATATCACTCTCTCTAATAATAATAAAAATAATAGGGATTACGTTGATATTTTTATGCCAAATCTTCTATCAAACCAAAAATTACTCTTCAATCAAAATTCTAAAATAGTTTCATAGTTAAACTCTCAAATTGCACCCTACTCTAACAAATATTCTCTTACTAATATACTAACACTATAAAAAAATAATGAAATCCGATTCTTCAATTTAAACTTATCCAATCCCCATTTGATCCCCATTAAATGGGCTTCTTAGTTTTATATTAATGAGTTAAATGGTGTGAGCATAGATATGGGAATATAACACTTGAGTGCTTATTAATTATTGCAACTACCGGATGCTCCACAGTTATGTTAGAGCTTTTGATTGACACTGCAATACAGTTTTAGAAAATGACTAGAAGATGTGGAGTGAGGTATCAAAGATTGGGAAAGGCAAGAACGTGGTCCTTCCAGCTAACGAGGACAGATTCACTAGTAAATGTTCCTCTATGGAGGCTTTGTCATCATTATTCTAAGGAATCCTAGGTAAGAGCCAAATTAGGAGTTGTTATATTTAATCTCAAATGATTAGAGACATGGGTCTTGGTACTTGTAATGTCTATTCACTCATTTTACATTTACTGATATGATGTAGCTTTAGGGATATTCCAATTGAAAAAAGAAAAAAAAATCTTTTGACATGTGAATGCAAATATGAACTTCCATGAGTGTGTCATTGTTCCTCACATGCAACTTGGAGCTTTAAATCCCCCCTTGATACAATCCATAGGATGCTCAAGAAGAGACAAATTCAAAGACATGAAGAACTATGAAATTTGATTTCCCATCAAGATAAAGATTTATATAAAACCCTATTCAAGGAATATTAGGACTTTTCAACTTCTTTCCTATTCTCCTATCAAAAAAAAAAACTTTCCCATTCGATGTGGGACTCTACATGTGGTGTCTCAACAAACTCCCCTTCATGTGAGACCCACATCGAATTCAACTTCCCTTTAAGTTTGATTTACTAATTTCTTCAAGCACTACATGCAAAATCACACCTCACGCGAAATCGATCTTATGAGTCGCCATAATCCTTTCTATCTTTCAAGAGTCTGCGACTTGACCGCATCTTCTATGAAAATTCACGTCTTATCTGCTTCTGAGAAAATTCAATGGTCAATTCCTTT